AAAAAGCGCATTGTAAAACAACCATAAGGGATTAAGGCAACAAATGAAAAGACAATTTTAATAAATATTTAGAGAAAAAATATATATTTATATATTTAATATATTATATTTTATTATGTTTGATTGTAACACACACAGAATATGATAATTTTTATAATCATTGAAGATACATAATTAGTGCTAATTAATAATAATAACAATTTAATGTATAATAATTAACTTAAAATTCTAATTTTACTTGCCGCCGAACAGAATTACACCTTTTTCTCGCTTTGTTCTTTTTTTCTCAATATGATTAAAGAATTATCTTTTAATTGTTTTATAAAACTGTCTGATTCCAAAGTATAAGAAATAAATATTGGAAATGTCCTCGATAATTGATGAACAGGCAATCTTTCTATCTTGTGGATACCGCTTGTCGTGCTTACCTATTCGAACTAACCGATCAAAACTTTCTTTTTGTGTAATTGCCCGAAGGAACGATGGATATCGTTTCGCATGTTCGACCACGTAATTATTTCCTGCACGCAGGGAAAATATATTTCTTTCGTACTCGTCGATGGAGACAATCCGCGGATGGTACACCCTTCCGGGGTGGTTGGCTCCTATTATGCTTTTCCAATCTGGAGAGTCGTCCCCGCGCCTTTCCATGTGGAACCCAATGCGAGCTTATCGCTGCGGTCACGTTAGTTTGCTTTCGGAATTTGGCCCACAAGGGATATATAGGTTACATGGTACCGCGCATTCGGAAACGATAAACCTCCTTTCCCCCGCACAATCCTTACAAAATTGTGTCTTTAATTCGTGAAATGAATTATACTAACTTTACCATTGTCCCTTAATTACGGATTAGGAAAATTAGTTTTTTTATTTTCAGAATCAACCTTTTTTAGACTAACTTCATGTATATATTTCTGTTCTACATTTTATTTTATTTCTTTCCAATTACATTATTAATTAAGGGATGATTTACGTGTAGAAAGATTTATTGCATTTTTACATGCGCGAATTTCGTTGTTGTGCGCGAAGTTAAGCTTATCTTCGCCTAATTATGCAAAGCAGAGACCGAACATTGTAGTAAATTAGAAAAATGTTCTGTTAATTGCTAGCGTTTATATTTTTATTACTTTTATCAGAAATAAAAAACAAAATGGAGGGTGATAGATTTACTATCGCAGAAGCCTCTATTTCTTGTCACGAGGCGTTTCCATTTGTGTCAGTGTTATCGGGACACGCGAAGGGTTAACGTCCTAAATTACAATGGGGGTAAATCTATCTGCAGATTTAATGTACGGACGGCAGTGTCGAAAATTCATACAACACGCTGCTTCGGCTAATGAGACAATGCAGATTGTGAAATGTATTTAAGGAGCTGAATTTGAAGCGGGTGTCGATAGATACAAAAGTATGCGCGCGCGCGCGCGTATCGTTTAATCTTTCTGTTGAATTATATATGACTTTACCGCATTACTACACACGATAGAGTTAATATCATTAACCCGAGAATAGTCCTGAGTGTTTTAGCACGTCGTAGCGGCGAGAAAATATGAATTGTTGTAATATATTATTTATAAAAAGCGTAGGTAGAGGAAGGTCACCGATACCGACATATCACTTTGTTTTTAGACAATATTTCTTAAACAAAAGGTAAAAATACAACTTCAAAAACATAAATACAAAG